CAAACCAAAAGTAACAATGCACAAACACTAGAAGAGAAACTAGATAACTGGGAGCTCCTAAAAATCAAATACTTGTGTTCATCAAAAGACCTCACCAGAAGAGTAAAAAGACAACCTACAGACTGGGAAAAAATTTTTGGCTACGACAAATCTGATCAGTGTCTAATCTCTAAAATCTATACGACACTGCAAAATCTCAACAACAAAAAGACAAATAACCCAATTAGAAAACAGACAGAGGATATGAACATGCACTTCGCCAAAGAAGACATTCAGGCAGCTAACAGACACATGAGGAAATGCTCACGATCATTAGCCATTAGAGAAATGCAAATCAAAACTACAATGAGATGCCATCTCACCCCAACAAGGCTAGTATTAAGCAAAACAACACAAAATAATAAATGTTGGAGAGGTTATGGAGAGACTGGAACACTTACACACTGCTGGTGGGAATGTAAAATGGTACAACCACGTTGGAAATCGATTTGGCACTTCCTTAAAAAGCTAGAAATAGAAGTACCATCCCACTCCTTGGAATATATCCTAGAGAAATAAGAGCTGTCACATGAATGAATATATGTACACCCATGTTCATTGAAGCACTGCTCACAATAGCAAAAAGATGGAAACAACCTAGATGTCCAACAATGGATGAATGGATAAACAAATTAATGGTGTATTCATACAATGGAATACTATGCAATGATAAAGAACAACGATGAATCCGCAAAACATCTCATAACATGGATGAATCTGGATGACATTATGCTCAGTGAAATTAGTCAGTTATAGAAGGACAAATATTATATGAGACCACTATTGTAAGAACTCAAGAAAAGGTTTAAACACAGGGGAAAACATTCTTTGATGGTTACAAGGGTGGGGAGGGAGCGGGGAATTCACAATCTAGATAGTAGACAAGAATTTTCTTAGCTGAAGGGAAGGGCAACACACAATACAGGGGAAGTCATCATCACTGGACTAAACCAAAAGCTAAGAAGTTTCCTGAACACACCCAAACACTTTGAGAGACAGTGTAGCAGGGGCAGGATCTGAGGACCACGGTTTCAGGGGACATCTGGGTCAGATGGCATAACAAAGTTTATTAAGAAAATGTTCTGCATCTCACTTTGGTGAGTAGCATTTGGAGTCTTAAGAGCTAGCGAGCGGCTATCTAATTGGTCCAAACCCACCTGGAGCATCAACTGGTCCAAACCCACCTGGAGCAAAGGAACATGAAAAACACCAAAGACACAAGGAAAATATTAGTGCAAGAGACAAAAGTGGCCACACAAACCAGAGACTGCATCAGCCTGAGACCAGAAGAACTAGATGGTGCCCGGCTACCACCAATGACTGCCTTGACAGGGCACATAACAGAAAGTCCCTGACGGAGCAGGAGAAAAGTGGGGTGCAGAGCTCAAATTCTAGTAAAAAGACCAGACTTAATGGTCAGACTAAGACTGGAAGAACCCCAGAAGACATGGCCCCAGACTCTCTGTTAACCCAGAACTAAAACCATTCCCGAAGCCAACTCTTTAGAGAAAGAATAGATTGAACTATAAGACATAAAATGATACTCTTGAAGAGTGTGCTTCTTAGTTTAAGTAGATACACAAGACTAAATGGGCAGCTCCTGTCCAGAGGCAAAATGAAAATGTAGAAAGGGATACGAGCTGGTTGAATGGACATGGGAAATCCAGGTTGGATAGAAGAAATGTGTTGTCACATAATAGAGATAGCAACTAGTGTCACATAATAATGTGTATATAAATTTTTGTATGAGAAACTAACTTGAGCTGTAAACTTTCACCTAAAGCACAAATGAAAAACAAAAAAAAAAAGAAAGACAAGGAAGGATCTTCCCCTAGAGCTGACAGAGAGCTGGCCTTGCGGACACTCTGAATTCAGACTTCTAGCCTCCAGAACAATAAGACAATGAATTTCTGTTCTTTAAAGCCACTCACTTTGTACTACTTTGTTATGGCAGCCCTCAGAAACTATGACAGCGCCCTGCTGAAACTGTACAAACACAGGAAAAACATCAAATTGTTGAAAACTAAACATAAAGCACAGAGTTGGAGGTTTCACGCCAAATACAGTTGGTGAGTGAGTTGCTTAGAAAATGAAACAGCAATCACTGGGAAACAGTGTTGGGTCACCAAAAACCAGTTATTGGAAGCTAACCTCATGTTCTTCCAAAAGAACCAAAAATAAAAAATAACTATGGCAATGCATCAGACGTCACACATCTCGGTTTCAGTAACCATTAGGCGAAACTTCTAATACTATCCACACAAACAATCAGAGCAACGTGAACTAGAAGATGGTATGACTAGCATCATCACCTCTTGCCTGGCACCACAGTGGTCTCCTAAATGAAATCCCAGCTTCCTATCTAGTCCCATCCTCCTCAATCCATTCTCTGCACAAACACGAGAATGATCCTTTTAAAACCTGTCTCAGATCATAGGACACTCCAGGTTAAAACTTTGCACTGGCTCCTCACTGCACTTAGAATAAAATTCAAACTCGGCTGTGACTTAAAACACCCAGTATGCTCTTCTCACCCTCTTCCTGGCTGGTCTCCCCTCATTCTTAAAAGTCACAGCGAATAGCACAGAACCTAGTAGCGCGTAGTAGTAGGCATCCAATCATTGCTTGTTGAATTAATATATGTTACAATCCTAATTTAACAAATGAGGACGCCAAAGCTGCAACATGACAGACTCTCAAATTTTTTACCAGTGAATGCCCAGAAAGAGGAAAGCAATTAATTTACTCTGTAGGTCAATCTTTACTTTTAGCATTTTGTTCCATTCTAAGTGCCATATATTGAGACATACTGAAAATATGGAATATTTTCAAAATATTTCCAAAATTACATAGGAATTTGACAGTTCACATAATATGAAAGAGTGGCAAGTTGGAATATTTAGCCAGGGGAATATGATTGTTATCTTCATAAAAGGGATTTATAAGAGAGATTAGGAATGGAAGTGAAAGAAAAGGGATTTTGAATCATAATAAAGAGGAACTAACAATTATGGCTGCTAGTTAAGAGAGTAAGGGACAAAGAAATACCTAATACCTTGGTGTGCATAGACAGAGAAAGCTGCATGACCTTCTCACAGGAATCTCATAGGGGAATTTAAACACTGCATAAGAGACAAAACCAGATACCCTTTCAGATTCCATTTCAATTCCAACATGCTATTACTCTGTCCATCAACTGGAATTTAAGTAAAAGAAAAAAATTAATAGAGCCATCCTTTTGTAATAAACAGAGCTAACATACAAAATTGGATGGTCAAGTCAGACTTACTCAAAAGAGAGATTCTAGTAATTTCAAGGATACAGGTAATCAGGAGGCTCAGACAAAGCAGAGAGAAGCCGGGGACATCAAGGGTGGTCCCCATCCTTTCTTTCTGCATCAGACATGCACCTCTGGCCCAGAATAATAGGTGACATCTCACAGTGAGGTCCATGGGGTTCCTCACATAACAAGAGTGTTTAAATTATGAAACATCCCCCCTTTTTACACCCAAAGAATTGGACAACTTATGAACCATTCTCCAGGGAGACCTGCCTCATGGATCCTGGGTTCTATTTACTGTAAGTAATACCTTAGACAGGGATCATTCTTCCTCATAGCAAATGTTAGTCCATTTACCCAGAGATCTAGCTGAGCAGGAGATTAGACTAGGTACCTCCCTTTGTTTCTTTTTCCCTGGGGCCATCCTCCTGCTCCCCCAGTGAAGGGGGTGAATGGATTGTAGGCAGCTGCTTAACTCCTTCCTCTCACGAACACTATTTTTAAAATTAAAAGAGGAAGAGGTGTGTATACACGTGTGCATATGTACGTGTGTGAGAGAAAAGAGACAGAATTAGGCAGAGAAAAATATAGAAGAGGGAAGGTTACTGGGTCTTCCTTGCAAGGGATGGGCATAAGGAAATCTACACCTCTTATCCTGGCCAGTCGTCAAACTTTGTCAGGCAAACACAGCAAATGAAACTCAGACTACTCCCTTTGAGGGAGAGGGCAAGCATAACCAAATGCTCCTGCCCTCCCACCTATACATTCTTTTCCGTCGAGTCGGCACGTGACTTGTGGCGACCCCACGCACAACAGAACAAAATGGTACTCAGTCCTGTTTCATCTCCAGGATTGGCTGTGAATTGAACTGTTGTGATTCATAGGGTTTTCACTGGCTGATTTTTGGAAGCAGATCAGCAGACCCTTCTTCCTAGACCATCTTAGTAGGGAAGATCCACTGAAACCTGTTCAGCATCACAGCAACGCGCAAGCCTTCACTGACAAATAGGTGGTGGCTGTGAATGAGGTGCATTGGCCAGGAATCGAACCCAGGTCTCTCATAAGGAAGATGAGAACTCTACCACTGAACCACCACCAGAGCTGTTAGACTCTGGTTATTATAGGTACAATCAAAGCAGTGCTTCTCACATCAGAATCTCAAACCACCAGTGGCTCTATCATGGAGGAAGCTCAGAGCTTTTAGATTTCCTTTTTCCTCTGGTTGAAGATTACAGTGTAGAAAACTCTCTAAAATGCAGGACTATAAGCAGAAGGGGGCAAGTTGGGGGTGTACCACAGCTAGGATTGGGGGAGGCGAATTCATTAACCTTCCAAAATTGTAAATAAAATTTTGTGCAAGTGTGAGCTTTTCCTAGAAAGGGTCCAGAATCCTTATTAGATTCTCAAAAGTCTTGATGGCCCATAAAAGTTTAGCCAGTAAATCTACATGGTGCTTTTAATGGATGTGGGTCCAGGGACAGATAAGCTGAGTCCAATTGCTAGGGTCTGACCCTGGTCTGCACTGTTCATCCCCCTCTTCACCCACAGAAACTTCTCAGAGCTCAACTATCAAGAATGTGAGTGAACTCCGTCTTCTTTTCCAAGTGATTCCAAAGATGCTGTGAAACATTCTGAATACAAAACAGTTGTTTTTAAATTAAATGTGAAGAGTAGAACTTACCCTTTCATTTTCTTAGATAAAGACTCAGCACCATCTTGCAGATTTTTGCATTTTTCTATCAGTTGGAGTGACTTCTCATTCAGATATGTGCTGTTTTGTGACAGAAAAAAGAGTGATTTAAAATGAGAGCTTATAAAATACTGTTAACAAAAATCAGATTTAATTGATAAAGGGCGCCCAAGTGAAATCTGATTTTCATTCCGTTATTGGATTTCTCTATGGCAAAGGAAATTGGTATTGTCACCTCTGAAGGGACTAAATTAAAAAAAGTTTACACTATAGAGTCAAACAGAAAAGAAATCTATATTCAAGACTTCATATTTTCAGGTTTTCATATTTTGAGGTTAGTCTTTACAAGGAAAGGAGCTCTGGTAGCACAATGGTTAAGTGCTCAGCTGCTAACCAAAAGGTGGCAGTTTGAACCCACCTAGCGCCTCTGTGGGAGAAAGACCTGGTGATTTGCTCCTGTAAAGATTACAGCCTAGAAAACCCTATGGGCCAGTTCTTTCTGTAACACATGGTTGCTGTAAGTCAAAATTGACTCAGTGGCATCTAACCACAACATTTACAAGGAACAAGCTATTAAATAATTGTAATCATTATGTATATAATTAAAACCAGTTGCTGTTGAATCGACTCTGACTCATGGTGACCCTACTTGTGTCACAGTAGAACTGTGCTCCACAGGGCTTTCAATGGCTGATTTTTCAGAAGTAGACCATCAGGACTTTCTTCGAAGGCGCATCTGGGTGGACTCGAACCTCCAACCTTTTGGTTAGTAGCCAAGTGAGTTAACTGTTTGCACCACCCAGGGGCTTAGCCTTGATTTTCAAAGGATGTTATCTCTGGTAGGAAGCATGCAGAAATGGAGAATCTCTAGATAAAGGGCACAAGGTGGCTCCTTGATCGTTGTAATAGTTGTGATATAAGGGCCTATTACTGTTTTTTTAATGAACTTGCAAAATTGGAGTTGGAACAAAGCCAAATCAAAAAGCATGGTTAAAACATGAGTTATGGAGTTGGACTGCCTAATGAGCCTCGTGGTCAGGTAGTTGTTGTTAGGTGTTGTCAAGTCATTTCCAACTCATAGCAACCCCATGTACAACAGAATGAAACACTGCCCGGTCCTGTGCCATTCTCACAATCATTGCTATGTTTGAGCCCATTGCTGCAGCCGCTGTGTCAATCCATCTTGTTGAGAGTTTTCCTCTTTTTCTATGACCCTCTACTTTACCAAGCATGATGTCCTTCTCCAGGGACCGGTCCCTCCTGATAACATGTCCAAAGTACATGAAACAAAGTCTTGACATCCTTGCTTCTAAGAAGCACTCTGGCTGTACTTCTTCCAAGACAGATTTGTTCATTCTTCTGGCAGTCCATGGTATGTTCAATATTCTTCACCAACACCATAATTCAAAGGCATCTGTTCTTCTTCAGTCTTCCTTATTCATTGTCCAGCTTTCACACGCATATGAGGTGACTGAAAATACGATGGCTTGGGTCAAGTGCACCTTAGTCCTCACAGTGACATTTTTGCTTTTTAACACTTTAAAAAGGTTTTTTGCAGCAGATTTGCTCAATACAATATGTCATCAGACAATGTTCCACTGCTATTCCTAAGGTTTTCACCGGCCAATTTTTCTTAGAAGTAGATCATCAGGTCCTTCTTCCTAGACTGTTTCAGTCTGGAAGCTCCACTGAAACCTGTCCACGAAGGGTGATCCTTGTGGTGTTTGAAATACTGGTGGCATACTTCCAGCATCACAGCAACATGGAATCCATCACAATACGACAAACTGACAGATGAGTGGTGGTCGCGGACATAAGCATGTTATTTAACTGCTCCATGCATCAGTCTTCATATCTCTAAAGTGAGGATAATAGTACTCAACTCACGGTGTTAATGTCATATTATGTAAAACAACGCTAAGTACTTAGCATCATGCTTATACAGTTAGTGTTCAAAAAATATCAACTATCTTTTTCCTTACACTTTAAAAATAATACATACAACTCTGACTTCCTATATATCTGCATGCTATGAATTAAATTGTGCCCCCCCAAAATACATGTTGGAATCCTAACCTCTATATCTGTGGAAGTAATTCTGTTTGGAAATAGGGTTTTCTTTGTTATGTGAATTAGATCATACCCCAGTAGGATGGGTTCTAAATCTAATCACTTCTGAGTTACAAAAACAATAGATTAGATACAGAGACACACACAGTGGGGGGAGGGGGTGGGAGACAGATGCCATGTGAGGATTGTCTATAAGCCAAGGAATTAAGGAATGCCTGGGGCTACCAACATGAAAGGAACTGGCACAGCTGAGACCCTGATTTGAACGTTGAACTCTAGAACTGTGAGAAAATAAATTTCTGTTCTCAAGCCACCTACTATGGTAGTTCTGTTACAGCAGCTCTGGGAAACTAAGACATGGTACAATGTGTTAACACATTTATTTAATTAACCTGAAGGTATTTATTGAGAACCTCATGTGGGATGGAGCCAGGCACAGGATGCATAGGAGACGGTGATCAGGCATTATTAAGACAAGCAGTGGGTGCAATGGGAGAGCATAACAGGGAGATGTATTTATACTGAGGGTCAGCGAAGGCCTTTGAGGGAGTGTCATTTAGGTAGAGATGCTAAGAGTGATACAAGTTAGCTAGGTGAACTTTGTGAAGGGGAGGAGGAAGGGATTCCAGGCAGAGCAGAAAGTGTGTACTGAAGTCCCAGAATGGGGAGTAGTCTGAAATGTCTGAGGAAGGGAAAGAAGGCCAGTGGGGCTGAAGCTAAAAGGCTAAATAGTGTTTGGAGTTTACCACTTCAAGCAGAGGCCAGAGCATGCAGACCAAGTAACCTAAGTTAAAGAGTTTGGATTCTAACCTAATAACAAGGGGGAGCAATGGAAGGTTTTGAACAGTAGAGTGATGTGATCGGATTTATATTTTTAAAAGTTCATTATGACTGCTTTGCAGAGAAATGAGAGCAGGTTGGATATGGCAGTTAGTTTTATGTGTCAACTTGGCTAGGCTATGAAAACCAAACCAAACCCACTGCTGTTGAGTTGATTCCAACTCATAGTACCCAGTTATTTAATCAAACACTAGTCGAGGTGTTTCTGTAAAGGTATTTTGTAGATGTGGTCAGCATCTACAATCAGTTGACTTTAAGTCAAGGAAATGACCCTCAGTAATGTGGTCTCATCCACTCAGCTGGAAGGCTTAAGAGCAAAAACTGAGGTTTCCTAGAGAAGCAGAAATTCTGCCCCAAGACTGCAGCATCAAATTGTGCCTGAGTTTCCAGCTTGCCAGTCTGCCCCGTATATTTCAAACCTCAGACTGCAGCATCAGCCCTTGCCTGAGTTTCCAGTCTGCTGCCTCCCCTACACATTTCAGACTTGCTGGCCCCTACAACTGCATGAGCCAATGTCTTAAAATAAATCTCTTTATTTATGTGTGTGTGTGTTATTTGTTATGTTTCTCTGGAAAACCCTGACACTGATACCCAGAGGAAGTACAAAAGTAAGGTTTCTGCACATTTCCAGAAGAGAGATGATAGCAACTTGTTTTACTTGTCAGGATGGAAGAGGCTATGATGTGGTTAGAAAAAAAACCACAAAAATCTCCAATGCTTTACAAAGCCAACATTTGTTTCTTGCTTGTGAAAAGTCTACTGTGTGTCTGGGTGACTTTCTAGGGCGGCTGTGGTTTAGGGACCCAGACTGCCTCAGTCTTGTGACACCTTCATCCCAGCACTTGCTTTCACAATTGCCATGGCAGAAGAAGAAAATGCTGGAAGGTCTCCCCTAGTATCTGAATGCTTTAGCTTGGAAGTGATACGTGTCACGTCTACTTATGATCCATTGGCAAGAACTAGGCATACGCTCTACCTGACTGCAAAGTGAGAGGCAGAAAAGAGCAGTCCTCCTGAGTGTGTTCAGAAAGAGGGAAGATCTAGATACAGTTGTACATGGGAAGACCATGCCCCACTTGTGTCAGCTACAATGAAGAGAAGCAGGTATATGAGATATATTCTAGAGGCAAGACTGACAGGACTTGATAGTAAATTGGATGTGGGAGGTAAGGGAGAGGGAGGTACAAACATAAAGCTATAAACAATACAGATTCATAATTAATTCTTCAATCTTAGAAATGCTTTCCAAAAACACTGTATACAGAGTACATACGGGCTCACAAATCTCTCTTAATCCTGACATGATTTCTCCCCTCCCCTACTTCTCTCCTGCCTCTCTCATTCTGTCTACATACTTCACCTTCTGTGCCTTCTAAATGTATTATCATACTTTTCAAGGATTTGTTTATTTCTAATTTGCTGTGTATTTTCTTCAGGCAGCACCATTAATAAAGTGAATAACCAAGCTCACATTGTTTTGAATTATGATGGCTTTGCAATACTGAAATGTGAAATTGTGACAAACAGGCACCAATAGGACTGTGTGTCCTATAACCTTCTTTAATCAGAGAGAATCTTTGTCAATAAAAAGCCAAAACAGGTTTGCCCAAGTAAAATTCCAGGCGATACATGAAGAGCAAATGAAGGTGTCTGGGGTAAAAGTAGCAATGACTGAGTGAATTCATAGATTCTTTGCAATCAGTATGTCCAGAGTCTGAATCTGGATCCATATCTCTGACTTAAGCCTTTTGAGCCTAAGGTTTTCTTTTTTTAAATCCTTACCAATAAATAATGATAGTGATTAAGTAGGATATGTATAAAAACACCTGACACACAGAAGTCTCTAAATAAAAATGTTGTGTTCTTATTCTCTTAAACTCATTATTGTATTATTTCCTCAAATCTTCTGACCTCTTTGGTAACTGATATTACCAAAGGGGTTGGAAACATCTCCCACTACAGCAATCACTTAACTGTGAAAGGAGCAGAAAGAGAAGGCTTTTTGGGTCTCTTTGCTTTCTGTGTCTCTCCTGTCCCCATTTCATTCAAAAAGCCTTTATATCTTTCTTCCTTTTCATGTAGTATCATTAAAACCTTCCTAGGATAATATTAAAACACTCAAATGCAGTAATTTCATAAACTTCAAATGTTTATCTACATTAGGCATCTGA